GGGTGAGGGGTGAGGGGGTAGAGGGAGGGGGTGAGGGGGGGAGGGGGGAAGGGAAGGGGCGGTGAGGGGTGAGGTGAAAAGTGAGGGGTGAGAGGTGAGGCAAGGGTTCGGTACTATGTTGGTAGGGGAGGGGTTAGGCTGTTTGTGAGTACCCCAGGTGGGTTAGAGGGGGAGGGGAGAGCTCCTGCTTGCTCGCGCCGGGGACGGCGCAGACCTCGACGTAGAATGTCTTGGAGTGGGAGCACTCTGCACAGCCACAGGCATGGGGAGGTGAAGCAATCTTGGCCGAGCCGCCCGGGAGCGCGCGCGGCGAGCCAGCGCGCCTCGCCTGGTGGTACGGAGCTGTCGCGGGGTGCATTCAGCCGCGCAGTGAGCGGGCGGCGTGAGCGTGCGTGTGTGTTGAGTGTCCAGCAGGCTGCTGCATTGCCTGCTGGCAGGCTGTGCAGATCTGGTCGGATGGCAGGGCGCGTGCGCGGCGGCCGCCGCGCGCGGCGTGCCGCCGCGCGCCTCGCGCGCTAGAGCTGCGTCGTGCCGGGCGCGGCGCGCTCTGGTAGAGCATGGTGCCTGAAACAGTGTGCAGGCGCCTGGCAAAGGGCGTGGACTGTCAGTGGGGTTCACTGCGGCGCGCGCGTCGCGGCGTGAGTGGTCGTGCGGCTAGCTCTGATGGTGCGAGAGGCGCGTGGCTGGTGCGGGCGGCTGGCGCAGCCATGGGGTGCCAGCACAGGGCAGACGCACATGACACAGGCTTGTGAGCGCTGTTCGTGTGTTTGCGTGCGCGCGGGGACGTACGCGCAGTTTTCACGCGGTGTGCGTGGAGAGGGGCATGAGGGGCGCCGGCCGCGCGTGTATTGGCGTGTGAGAGTGCGTGGTGCCCGAAGGCGAGAAGGGGCCCGAAGGCAGGGAGGAGTTGTCCGCCTCGCAACAACGGAATTGGAGAAAACCTGTTGCTTGCGTGTCATCCAGTGTGTTAAAATTTGTTATAGAAGTAGTCGAGCGCAGACATACTTAGCCTTTGTTCAAAAACGTCGAGGGACGTCGAAACATCAGCAGAGCGCGCGCGAACGGACCGTATAGCACTATATCACAACACACACGAAGTCCGAGATGTGAGGAACATACGTAGGTAGTGTTAGCAAATACAGGGGCGGCATCACCAAATCTCTGCCTGTGTCCTCTGCCCTGCACAAAAATCATACTGCGTTGCCGGCACGGTGGCGTCGTTGCGCCGCGCTCTCGCTGCTGCCGTGCACCTCCTCGGGCGCGCTCCGCTGGGACTGCGCGCGGCTTGCGCTCTGCCCGCGCTCAAACTTCGTCCGAATCAGGCCTGGCCGACGTACTTGATGGGCACGGCATCGTGCGGGCCCTTGAGGAGGATTTGGCCTACAGAGGGGGGGAGCAGCGCCTGCTCGCGCCGCGCGGGTCGGGGAGGGTGCCTGGTGAGGGGGCGGCGGCGCGTGCCTTCCCACTGCAGGAGTCCTCGCTTGCGGCCCGCCTGCGAGGGTGAGGGAGGAGTCTCGTCAGAGCTGCCAACGCGGCAGGGAGGAGCTCAGCCTCGCGCCTTGAGCGTGCCCACCAGCGACTCGAGCTGCTGCTCGAGCTCCTCGTCGTCCATCACCTGCTCACAGCGCACGGTGTCGAGAGGCGCCGCCCGGAGCTGCGGCCCTAGCTTCCTGCGCGTCCGTCACTTTGCCAAAGGTCGTGCTGATCGAGCCGTCCGCCTGGGGATGACAAGCTGCGACGCGTCTACGATGTGTCTCGGGCCGGTCTCCGACACGTCTCGGAGGGCGGTGTGCGCGTGCGCAGGCAGGGCCAGGTCGTGCGGCGCCTCGGCGGTGCCGAGTCGCGGGAAGGCGGCGAGCAGCAGCGCCAGATCCTTCTCCACCCCCTCCTGAGCCTCTGCCGTGCTGCTCCCGACCGAAGACCCGACCGCCGCTGCCGGCGGCGGTGGTGTCGCCGCGGCGGCCGGCGGCTTGCGTGCCGCGCCTCCGGCGGGCGACTTTTGCACCGGGACAAAGCTCGTGGGCGTCCCTCCGCCGGAGGGGAGGACTTTAGGGCCGCCACCAAACAGCGCCTTTGCCGCAGCGTGGTTGCCCGAGCCCTTGATCTCTGCGCGAGCCGCGGCGGCGTTTTTCTGCGCGGCGGTCATCTTCCAGTTTGGGACGACCTTGGCGCCGGTGCCCACCTCATCCGCCAGCTTGCCCTGCAGGCCCGCGAGGGCCTGCCCATGCTGGCTCGAGCCCTGCGACTTTGAGACGACACCGGCACTACCCTTGCGGTTCAGGTTTGCCATCGCCTGCTGCCGCGCCGACTGCAGAGCCTTTTCCCCTTCGGCCGCTTTTTGCTCGGAGCTCACGTGCCGTGCGTTGACTTGGATCTCATCCGACGAAGCACTGAGGGCAGCCATGGCGGCCGCGCGCTGGCTGCTCCCACTGCTCGGCGACTCCGCCATGTCAGCGCACACCGAATCGCAGAGGAGCTGCAGAGGTGCACGCTAACCACCAGGCCGCTCCTAGCAAAGCGAGCGTGTCGGTGGAGACTTGTTCACAGATAGGTTGATAAGAAACAAGAAGCTCACATCGCACAGACAGTGAGGGTGTGAGAGGCGGACCTAAGGAAGGTCCTACATTCACAGATAGGGTGATAGAAAACAAGAACCTCGCATACACACCGGTATGCCTTGCTCCTTTAGGTGCTTTTAATACGTTCTGATTCTTGTGCTGATACTTGCGTCCGAGACTGCTTGTGTTAGCCCTGTGGGGTTTCTTTTGCCCTCGGTGTCCTGTCTCGGTGCGAGTTGTTCCCCCTTTTGTTGGACACCTAGTTGTTCCCCTTACAGCAGTGGCGGTCCGCTCACTGCGGTTTCTCTTGCTGCCGGCTGTCCGCCGACAGGTGGAGCCTCGTGAGGGCATCGAGCCCACACAGCATGTCGCCGCTCTCGTCTCGAGAAAAAAAGACAAGGCGCGCGGCTCGAGAACAGAACGCACACGAAAGAGCAGAGAGAGAGGGTGTGCGCCTCGCCCCCACTTGCCCTGACTGCACAGGATTGCGTGCCCCGAAGACGGCGACACATAGCGGGGGACACTGCGCAAGGAGGGGGTGCGAAGGCAAGATTTGGGTGCTTAGGTGGTTGGTGGGACCATGAAGGGGGGGTGGGCGGGGTCCTGTGGGGATGAAATGTTGCGCGGCGAATTCGAACCTACCCCCTCCCTCCCTCGCCGCGCCGATCCTCACGCGGAGGGTAAAAACCCTGTGGGAGGACCCAGGACCGAGGGGTGGGAGGAGCCCCTCTGGAGTGGGGGTAGGGAGGCCGCTCGGGGCGGGGGGTTCTAAGCGGCGATGTCGGCTGCGTCGTCGTGTTGGCTTGCGTGTCTATTAGCTCCGAGTAGAGGGGGCGTTCCGCAGCTAGGGGAAACCCAAAGCGCAGAGCCAACCCTCAGAGACCGTGTTTACTTTACGGCCCTTTCCCTGCGAACGCGCACCCCCCCCAGGGCTAGGGCTCTCTAGCCCGTAACCCGATGCCAATCATCCGGCCCGCTGGGTTTGCTTCTTAGCCCCCCGGCCCTGGATGTGCGGTTAATGACTGCACTCCAAGTGCTCCAAGGTCCGCTCGAGAACACAACGGTCAACGCACTCTCTCACATGACAAGCGATCCCACGACAGCGATTCGAAGTCGCCGCCTGTCAGTCACGGACGTGTCGTTGAGGTGCCGCGTCACCACGGGCTTTTCCTTGTCCCCGAGGATGATGCTGCCAACCGAGCGTGCCCGGATGGCATTCTGGGCGGCCCTTAGCACCCCGTTGTGCTTGGAGGTGCGGTCGCCCTTGTTGGAGTTGGCGAGGGAGTCGCCCTTGCGCTCTCCCACCGTGACGTGCTTGCCCGCGGCGGCCTGCTCGACGAGAGTGGGCGCAATCACCGACAAGTAGAGCCCGTGCCTGCGCTGTATCGCCGTCAGGAACATCGCCGACACCATCTTCGTGTGGTGGAGTCCATCAGGGCGCATGTCGAGCCATCCAGCGGCGCCGAACTGGGAGATCGAGATGAAGCGAGTCGCCCCCCTGAACTTGATCGCCTCCGACTGCAGCGTGTTTTTGTCGATCTCCTCGCACGCCGCCAGGCACGCGATCCACGCTTCGTGGGCCCCGACAGCAGCGAGCGTGCCCTGTTTTTCGGGGACTGGAGAGGTGCTCTGCTGCGTGAAGAGGTCGCCAATAGGCGGGATGCGCTGCGCCGACCCGACGGCAGCATGGACGGACAGAAGCGGCCAAGCTCGTACGTGTGGCAGAGGCCAAACTCCTTGTCTTGTGCACGCACCGCGTAGATGCGCGCGACATCGCCACGCCGTTGGCTGATGTCATTGTAGAAAAAAGATAGAAGGGGTCGTCTCATGTCCGTGTCGGGTGCTAGCTCCGAGTAGAGGGGGCGTTCTGCTGCGAGGAGAAACCCGGAGCGCGGAGCCAACCCTCGGAGACCCGTGTTTACTTCATGGCCCTTTCCCTGCGAACGCGCACCCCCAGGGCTAGCTAGGGCTCTCTTGCACCCGCAAGGCGCCGCAACCCGTCCCCGAGCATCTGGCCCGCTGGGTGCGCTTTTTAGCTCCCCGGCCCTGGATGTGAGGCTGCCAACTGCACTCCAAGTGCTCCAAGGATCGACCGGGGGTACCGGGGCGCCGGCGGGACGCGCTGCTGGGAGATCGATCGGCTGCGAGGCAACCCTCCCTGGCAGCCTTGCACTCAAGCGCCACAACCCCGGCATCGGCAATGCGCGGAGCGCGCCAGGGAGTGTTTGGTGGCGTCTGTAGGGAGTGTGCTCCGGGGGGCGGCATCCCACCCTGCTACACGGTATCCCGCCGGGCCCGTGGCGGCCAGTGCCCTCCGACCTCCGTGGCGGCGCCGACACCTATCTCGATAGCATGGCGGAAGTGGACAGGGCCACCTTGCCCCCTTCCTGACATGCATGCGCCTTCCCGCACGAGGATAGGACCACCACGGACCTCAGTAGTGGTAAGTTTGTTGGGTGTTGATGTCATACTCCGCGGTGCCCGCCCTCCTTCCCTCAATGTCCACACGGGACACCGCACATGACGGGCTCGCACGAGTCTGCGGCCATGGCCCGGCTCGAACCTCGATCTCGAGGTGGACGGGCACCTCGGAACTAGCTCGAACCTCGATCTCGAGGTGGACGGGCACCTCGGAACTAGATAGTCCGACACAAAACACACACACCCGTCATCGCAGACGTCCACGCCACGAATGGCCCGCAACCATCCACGTCACACACGCGGCACGATCTGGCTTGAGCTTCTGTGGGAGTTCAATGCTGCACGACCTCCTTGTTGACCGTGTCCAGCTTGAGCGCCATGGCAGCATTCGAGTCCTCCAGGCGCTTGATGCGGTCTAGCGTGGTGGCGCCGAGGTACAACACGCCTCCGAAGACCACGCCTCGGAAGGCTGCCCTCGCGAGTAGGACGCGGCGAAAAGTGTTGCCATCGACGCACATCATCTTCCTCGCGCCCTCGGCACTCGCCCCTGTCGTGGTTGCCATTGTCATATCGTCGTGTCGAGAGATCGTCTAGAGCGTCGTCTAGAGGTGTAGAGGGTCCTCGTGCGTGTGAAGCTTTGTGGCTAGCCGACTTTGCGCCCTTGGGGCGATGGTAGGGTTTTTCAGGCGGAGTTCGCTCTGTAGCTCGAGTCGGGTGAGGGGCTCGCCTGTGATTTGGTTGAATAGGTCGCCCAGAGCGGTGAATCCGAGCGTCGCCCAGCGAGCTTCGACCTTGCGTCTAGCCTTGGGTTTGACAAGTTCAAAGAGCCAGTTCCTGAATAGAGGAAGTGCTCGGAGCGAGTCGGGCTCCTTTGCTTTAAGGACGTCGACATGTTGTTTTATTCCTAGTCGCCAGAAGGCTTTGAGGGCATCTCTCATAGAGGTCGCGGTTTTGGGGATTCTTCCCAGAAGAGTTTTTTTGTCGTGGTTGGAGAGTGGGGACACGAGGTGGCCTCTCGGGACTCCGAGCCAATGGTCGAGGATTTTCTTCCACTGGGCCTCCCTTGGGTCGAGGTACATGATGATCCATCTAGCTTGGTAAGCTAGGAGATGGGCCCGGAAGTGCATGATTCCAGCACCTCCCTTTTTTCCTGCGCGGTAGGTGGCGTGTTTGGCAATGAATTTACCGGTGCGGAGTTTTGATCCTAGTTCATCAGTCTTGAGCTCGGGTTTTTTCCTCCAGAGGAATACGTTGGCGTCTTGTTCGATGGCCCTTAGGAGTGGTTTTGGGGGGGCGAGGGACCACATGTAATAGCGAAGAGTGCCATAGTAATTGGCGTTAAGTAGTTTGTGTCGTCCATTGAGGCTTAGCTGAGTTGTGCCCCTGGCCTTAGCAAGTGAGGATTTCGCCCTCTTGTATATGGGCCCGAGAAATTCGAAGGCATTGAAGTCATTCCCTATTGGGATGCCCAGGTGGACGACCCAGCTGCCCGGAGGAGTCGGGACCCAGGGGCTGGAGCCTGGGAAGTCCGAGGCCCTTTTGTCACGGAAGGCCCCAACGGGGAGGTGATCGCGCTTGTCCGCGTTCTCCCGCATATTGGTTGCTAGGGAGAAGGTGTGGATGTGTTTCTCGACTCTGGCTATTTGAGTCGGATCCTTCAGGGCAAACATCGTGTCATCCGCAAAGTGGAGGATTTTGAAGAGGAGGTCTCCTATCTCTAGGCCCTGAAGTTTCTTGTCTTTGAGGCACATTCTGGTGAATCCTTCAATGATAACAAGAAACAGGAGGGGCGAGAGGGGGCATCCCTGGGCGGTTCCGACTTTGATGTCGTATGAGCCAGAGAGGAAGCCGTTTGCATATACTTTCCGCTTCGGGGGGTGGGTGGTGTCGTAGAGGATGTCGGTCCATGTGGTAAATTCGGAGGTGAAGCGGAGTGCCCGCAGGGCTTTGTGGAGGTATGACCAGGAGCAACGGTCAAAGGCCTTTTCAAGGTCGAGGAAGATGAAGAGACCCCCTTCATCTATTGCGTCCATATGGACTTGTATTAGTTGGAGGAGGCGTGTTGCCTCAGCAATGTTTGTGCGGGGGACAAAGCCTAGCTGAGCTTCAGATATGAATTGGGTGACTATGTTAGCCAGTCGCTTGGCTAGGATTCTGGTGAGAATTTTATAATCCCCGTTGAGGAGAGTAATCGGTCTGTAGTTGCGGATGTCCCGCCTGGTGCCTTTCTTGTACATGAGGGTGACCAGCCCGTCAGAGAACCCTGTAGGGAAGCGGTTCGAGGCTCGGCTCTTGTTGTAGACTGCTGAGAGGATAGGTCCTAGGAGGCCTGCGAAGGTCTTGTAATATTCGTTTGGGATTCTGTCGGGTCCGGCCGATTTGCCAGTCGGGAGGTGTTGGAGGATTGGTATCACTTCTTCGGGAGTTATGTCTTCGCCAGCGGATTGGGATGAGGATTCCTCGACTCCCCACTCCCTGAGGTACTTGAGGAGTTTCCTGACGGCCCGTTTGCTTGCGGGGGTTTGGGGGGGCTCTTTAGCGAGGTGTGCGAAATATTTCCTTGCCTCCTCCGCTATGAGATCGGTGGAGTCGGTTGTGTCTGTGTTCTTAGGGGGCGGTGAGTCCCAATCGGCGACTTTGTTGAGAGAGGTGATTAGTGTGCTCCCGTTTGCTTTTGGGTAGGTGTGTCTCCAGAACTCCCGGGACATGGATTCTTCCTTTCTCAGGTTGAAGAGTGAGGCGCGAGCTCCTGGGGGTTTGATTTTGGTGTTGAGAGCGGAAAGTTTGTCTTGGAGATCAGCCCGCGTGCTGGCTCCCTCCGGGGTGGGATTGATGCTCTGCTGGAGCTGGAGGAATTGAAGTTGAGACTTGAGGAGGGTTCTCTCAGCGTTGTTGCGCTTGGATCTTTCTTTGGTGACTTTGCGGAGGTACGTCCTGACTCGATTTTTGAGCGTGTTTAGGATCTCATGTGGATCCGTCCCCCCTTCCAGGGAGGCACGGGCTTCTTTGGTTATTTTGGTCAAGGCGGCGTGGACAGATGGTTCGAGTATAAGTGAAGCGTCTAGCTTCTCTAGGTCGTGTCCTCTCTTGGTTCCTCCTGTGAGGGTGAGGGTGGAGACCACGGCAGAGTGGTCTGATTTGAAGAGCGAATCATCGATTGTGGATGTCCACTGTGAGTCGGGGAGGGATGGAAGCTACTGTCTGTCGATTCTCGAGAGGCAGTATCCGTTTTTGCCGTTGTGGCTCGTAGGTTGGTGGTGGGTGAATGCAAATCCAACGCCGAGTTGAGCCCGTATCTCGTCGACGAGATTGTTTTCGGAGGCGATTTGTTCCAGGACATCGTGTCCGTCGTTTTCGTAGGGGGAGGGGGCTGTGCGTCGCAAGTCGAGTGCGGGGTCGGCAACACAGTTGAAGTCTCCCATAAGGACAGTGCTGCGCGTAACTAGCTGCCCAAGGGTTCGGAAGAAGAGTGCTCGTCTCCCTACTCTGGAGATCTGGGGAGCATAGACGTTGACGAATTTGAGTCTCTTTCCATCTTGGAACCGGACAGAGAGGGCGGAGATGCCTCCGTTGCTGCTCTTTCTGAAGGTGACTTCTGTGGTCAGGAGAGAGTCTCTGATGAGGATTGCGGTGCCGCCCCGGCTCGCTTGTTGGCTGATTGGAGCGATATACGCTCGAAAGCCGTGGATGGTCGCGGTGTTTGTGAAGTGATTGATACGGGTGTCTTTTTGTTTGAGGCTCAGCTCCTGGAATCCGACTATGTCGGCTTTTTCAATTTTTGCCGTCTTGATGGCCTGTTCCCATGTTCCTTTCGAGAGGGCTCCTCGGATATTGGCGGATATGATTTTGAGGTTGGGACCCTCTCCTTCGTACCCAAGGGTGTGGTCGAATATGACGCTGTATTTGATGTGCTCTTGCGCGATGGAGAGCTTTCTGCGAGTCTTCGTGAGTAGTGGAATGGTGATCGAGTTTAAGGTGATGCGCCCCTGAAGGGGGGCTTGGGTGTGACTTTTTGTCTGAAATGCCTTAAAGGTGACGACCCTACTGGACTCTCCACTGGACTTTGGGGGGTGGGCATCATCCCGAGCCAACTCTACGTTGGGCTTATGAGTTTGAGCGCCACGGGTCTCTGGGGAGTCCGTCGTCGATACGCTGGGATGCCCGTGTGGTGCGGGGCGGTCGGGCGCGAGGCGCGGCGAGGCCGATGACTTACGCGATGAAAGGGCCTGAGTCGCATGGCGAGGGGGGTTGGGAGGTATTCCTGTTGTGGGGGCCTCTAGAGGGGGCAGGGGGGTGTGACCTGCTGCGGTCTTGGACATCTGCGCCATGGCGGCGAGGAGCGTCGACTCCTGGTTGGCGCCCCGCGTCATGCGCGGGGGCTGAGGCTTCGGGCGGCAGCCCCCTTCGTGCGGGCACTCCGCGTAGCGGTGGAGGCAGAAGGGCCGGAGGCCAAACTGGTTGCGCGTGGCGGGGTCCACCCCGTACTCCCCGCGGATCCAGCAGTAGCCGATCTGCGTCGAGTCCTTGAAACGGAGGGGGATGCCGCCCGGGCGCCCGTAGGACTTGCGCTGGGTAAGCGCGTTCCAGTCGGCGGGCTCATGCTCCACCCCGCGGTGGCGGGCGTGGAGGAGGGTCTTGACCATGCCGACGTCGGTGGTGAGGCTCGCGATGACGGGTTCCTTGACAAAGGTGGAGAGCGCGTCCTTGACCGCGTTGACAAGGCCGGGGCGGGCAGCGTCGTCGGCGCTCACCTCGAGCGAGAATGAGTAGTCGCGAGGCGCGCCCTGCGGGACGGGGTCCTTGGAGACCCCGCCGACCGTGATCTTGACCCCGAAGGCGGAGTTGGAGCCGCACGGGGCGGGGGCCGGGAGCGCGGGGCCCGGGTGTTGGAAGCGCCCGTGGGTGCCGCCACCGTAGTGCGCGACCACGTGGTGCGCGGCGGCGGCGGCCCCCTGGCAGCGGAAGCTGATCGCCCCCGTCGCGCCGCGGTTGGTGGCGACCCAGGCGAACTGGCCGGGCTGGAGAAGCGAGGCGTCGCTGCCTTCGCCCGAGGTGGGGAAGGCGAGCTTGACGGCAGCGAGGCACAGCGCGTTGTCGAGGATGTGGCCCTCAGGGGCGTAGAGGCGCAGCACCTGCGCAATTGGGGAGATTCGGTCCATTGTGAGTAGGGGAGGATTTTCATGCGATTGGGGTCGTGTGAAGAGGCGAGGGGCCACGCGGCCCTCGGTCGAGGAGGCGTCCTGGGCGTGAGATAGGTGGAAGGGTGTGTTCTTTCCCGGAAGAAGGGAGGTGCTCAGCACCGTCATTAGTAGACACAAGCACACCACAACCGACAACGAGACGTGTTTCACGAGTCGGGGGGGCGTTGTCTTCTGGCACTCGGTGCCTTGGTGACCTCTCGGAGGCTTAATGGTTGGGGAAGTGTGAGAGGGGATGGGGGCAGAGAGTGGTGAAGGGGGATGGGCGGGGGAGTGGAGGGGGGGGGAGGAGGGGGGGTGGGAGGGGGGGGGAGAGTGGGGGTCCCCCTGGGGGCCTCTTGGGCCCCCAGGGCTCAGGGGTGGGCATTCAATGGCCTTTGGTGGCCCCCCCCCGAACTTGGGGTGTGA